TTTATATTTGAGAAAGTGCTGGCAAAATATATGACAGTTAAATAATAGCATAAATATATTCAACAAAAAATAAAATAAAAATTACCAAGAACAAAGAAAAATTCTACAGCTAAACCAAAGAAGTTGAAGATAGTTTTTTCCAAGCTCATCAATGCTAAGAAAAAAGTACATATTTATAAGCCTGCAATTCAACATTTGATGTTCTTCAATCACAATGGAAATAAAGTTGTACTGTAATATTTTCTAATTTATTGGCATGTAATCATTCACATTTGACAATATTAAATTAATGAATGCATTTATATGTACACGTAATCAAATCATTTCACACACACACACACAAACAATACGTGAACCCATTGGATTTAATTATTGTTTACAGAAGGGTGGAGAATTGAATCAGCCATTAATTTAGCTACAGCTGAACAACTTGAGTCCAGTTCAGAGAAACCTCATCTAGTGACTCACAACCTTCTATATCTCTAGCTCTAGGGAATCAACCACAATCTTCTCACCTCTGTGCACATGTGGCCTACACACAGACATATGCAAACATGTTCATAAATAGTTTTAAAAAATTAAAAAATTTAAAATGTGGTTTACAAAGTACATAATATGCTTGAATAAAAATATCATAATGGGAGTTGGAGAGATCACTTAGCTGTTAAAATTACTGGCTGAGGAACAGGATTCAGTTCCCAGTATCGACATGGCAACTAAATTCAGTTCAGGGAATTTGAAAACCTCTTCTGACCTCCACGGGCATTGCATGACACTGGTACACTTACATATATACAGGCAATACATTCGTACAAATAACATTAAAAATAAGAAATAAAATATTTTTAAACATAATTATACTGATTGTTTATAAAAATTAATAAACTAATAAAATGGCAAATACAAATACAGTCCAATCCCAAAAGCACATATCAGAAGTAAATTAAGTATATAATGACAGGATAAAATTTTTACTTTGTAACTACAAAAGCTATAGTGAAAAATAATTAGGTGTACATGGAGGAGTTGATAGTATAAACTCAGATATTAGATATCCACAGAAACTTAATAAAAATGTTATAAGCTGAAAAAAGGAACTAAAATGTACTTATTTTCAAGTACTGGGAAAAGACAAATTGTCAATAAATTTTACAATTATTTACTGTATTTAGCACCTTGATGTGATAGTGATGCCACTCTGATAATGGAAATAATATTTTTGTATGTTTTAGATATTTACTCTATTTTAGATTACAAAGAAGCATAGTAAATTTCTTTTTATTGAGATAATAAGCAAGGTGGGAAGTAATGTATTTGTGGCCATAATAAAACAAGAATGCTAAATTTTCCCTCAAGGAGTTATAATGTATGTTTTATGTTCAAATGTAAACTCAAATTTCTTGGTATTAGCAGGGATGTCAACGTAGGAACTTGGAGCAGGCCATATCTCATCCATACTCAAGGGCAGAGAGAAATGAACACACCACCTGCTTGCTTGAATCTAGCTTTCTCCTGTTGTGTATAGGTTAGAACATGCCCCCACCCCAACCTAGGGAAGCGTGTACCCCACAATTAGTTGGGTTTTCCTACATCAATCAACAATCAATACAATCTCCCTATAGATGTGATCACAAGCCAGTCTGATAGAGAAAATTCTTCAATTGAAATTCCTGTCTCAGATGATTCCAGAGGTGAGAATTTAACCGTGAAAACTAAACACTTATTTTGTCTCCTTTTTGAAAGGAAGAACGATACACATAGTATGTTTAATAGTTTAGTTGGATAAGAAAAATCGAGTTGTTACTTTAAATTGATTAGACACATTTTGCAAATACATGTTCTTATCCTTTTATTTTGGGAGAGAGGTGCATAGGAGCATGGGCATATGTATGTATGTAAGGTGTGTGTGTGTGGTGGGTGGTGCATGTGTGTGGATGCTTTTATGTACAAGTTTGTACATGTCCTTAGTGGGCACTGGGATCACAGATGGACTGCCATGTGTTTTCATCTTTTATGTGTGTTCTACAGATTTCAACTGCATGCCTCATGCTCTACCGTCTGAGTCTTCTCCCCAGCTTTATTACCATTCTCTTCTTTTCATGCTGTGGGGAGGTTGGTTAACACAGGGTTTCCACGTTACACTAGCTTGCCTGGAAATCACTATGTAGACCAAGCTGACCTCCATCTCAAGGGATTTGCCTGCCTCTGCCACCTGAGTTCTGGGGTTAAAGACTTGTGCCACCACACCTGGTTTCATTCTTACTATTATTACAATTATTAAAAATGTGCACATTGTCATGTTGTTTTAGGCTTTTAAAATATACAGTGGTTTCTCTTATTATAAGTTTACAATACTTTAAATTCTATTTTTATATTTATAAGAGAAATAAATACTAGCAGCCAAATACACAGGGAAACCATACTTATGTTTTGATTTTGAAGAGCATGCTTTGTATGATCTACTGAAGATTTGCAGTATTGTGGTAAATATTTTGTGACCTGTACTCAGATCATGATCAGATCATGAAATATATTCTTTTAAAAATATTTTATTTATTATTTATTATTTTATTGTTTTATGTGGATGAGTGTATTGTCTGCATGGATATAAGTGTACTCATGTCAGACAGTGCCTGAAGAGGTCAGGAGAGGGCATTGGGTCACCTGAAACTGAAGTTATTGATAGTTGTTAGCTGCCATGTGGGAGTTGAACCTGGGTCCTCTGCAAGAGCAACTAGTGCTTTTAAATACTGAGACATTTCTCCAACTGCAAAATATATTCTTATCATTTGTAACATGCAGCTCTAATTATTAATTAACTTTAGGTTGTTCTTTCCTTCCCTCAGAGTGCTCTTAGATTTTCTTACTAATCAAATACCTCCTATATCTTGCTTATTTTGTTTATACATTTTAATCTAATCATCCTGATCTTCAGTTTTGTGCTACTATCTGTGCAATTTTCTACCTATTTACTGATTTAATATTTCATGGTGCTTCATTTTAATATTTTCAAAGAAATATCATATGTATTGTTACAATCTGTTTCTTTTTTAAAAAAATTATTTGTTATTCTTTTATTGTGTATAAGTGTAGTGCCTGCATGTCGGTAAGAAAACCCGTGTTGTGCAATAACTTGGAGGTCAGAAGAGGGCTCAGATTCCCTAGAATTGAGTTACAGATGATTGTTAGCTGCCATGTTGAGTGCTGGTAATTGAACCTGGGTACTCAGCAAGAGCAGTCAGTGCCATCTTCCAGCCCCGCAATCAAAGTTTCTTACAATATATTGTTTACCTAGATCATTCTTTCACATGTAATATTGTCTGATTCTGTTAGTTTCTGCTTTTATAATTGCTTTTCATTCTTTACTTAAATAGATGAAGTATTTTGTTTTTGCTACTTTTGCTGACTAAAAATAATCGTAAACAAATTACTCTGACAATTTCTGATTGCCACATTATTATTCTGTAAATAACTTCTACAAAGTATATTATTTGATGTGGTGTTAGTATATGAATCTAATCTATCAAAATATTTTGCTGCTAGCTACCTTTAGTTTATTCCTCATTCACAGTCCTTTTTATTTTCTATTTATGATCCAAATTCAAGCCTAGAATAAAATTCTCTAAACTTTGATCAAATATATTGTTTTGGTATACTTGATACACACGATAGAACTATGGGAAACTGATTCCAGTTCTTAGTCTGAGTTTTGCAGACTCGGTCAAAAGACTATAAAAGAAACTATGTCTTAAAATTGGATAATTTATGCAGGGAACTGTCTCCTCTGGTACTCTTTTTCATTCAGGACTACCAATTAACAAGCTTCCCAGGATGCAGTTAGTGACTGCTAGCTGCCTCTACTTTTGTATTACTCTAGTATGTGAATTAAACTCTAGAAATATATTTAATAGCTATTGAAAAGTATAAAAAGTTCAGGAGCCAATGTATCCTCATTTACCCAAACTCTATGCTGAATGTGAGCCCAAACTCCACTGACACATGGATTCTTCCCTTTGATTACATTGTTGGATCTCTGTATTACATTAAAATATTTCCAAACATAATTGAAAATATTTGAAAATTTATATATATTTTCATATCACTGTGGGTCACTCTAAAATATCTGAGTAATATTTTACCTTATAAAATCATAAGTATTTTCTAGATTGACTTATTTTTTCCCTTTTTGTATATTTTATTGAATTTTTGTATATTTCATACAATAAAACAAACATATTTAGATCCCCTCCTGTATCTGCACCTCTCATAGTGACCCCACAGATTTTCATGTATTCTGTCATGTATGTTAAACCCTATCGAATCAATCTTTTGTACTGAGATACCCCACTGTGCATGTTCATCCACCAGATTCTAGTCAACCTACCTACAGTCACTCCATTAAAGGATATCAACTGTCCTTCCCTTCACCCAGCAGTAATCAGTTACCAATAATTCCTAGGCTAAGGTTGGGGACTGCTGCCAGTTTCCTCAGTTCTATGCTGTGTTTTTGTCTGATTAAGCCTACAAGG